TTAACTTTCATAACTAATTGTGTTGTATTATTAATATAATGGTGACAGAGGAGGCCCTAGCGACTGACCCACCAGGGAGCACCAGAGGAGGCCCTACCTAGCAACCAACTCAACAGGGAGGAGGCAAGCCACCTGAACCTTAGCCCTGCTCCACCTAGAGGCCTGCTTGCACCTGAAAGATAGATCACAGGAGACTATGCTCTGCCTGTACCTGAAAGAGCATTCAATGGAGTTATAGCCCCCAAGTACACCAACTGAGGGAAGAGAGAAGCACAGGCTCCACCTATACCGATTGGAAGAAGATGTGAGTAGACAACAAGGTAAGAATACACTCAAAGGAGCATAAACAGCACCACCAGAAACAGTGGCTCTACAACAGTATGAAGACCCCAACAAAGATGAAGCAGAAGAAAACGATCTTAAAAAAAACTTAAGGCCCTTAAAAGGAAATAAAAATTTGCCTTAATGAAGTGGAAAAAAAGACAAACAAAAAAATTGGAAGGAATCAACAAATCCCTTAAAGAAAACCAAGAAAAAGAAATTAAACAGGTGAAAGAAAAGATTAATAACTGAAATAGAGACAATAAGGAAACACAAATTGAGGGAATTCTGAAAATGGAAAATTTGGGTAAACAATCAGGAACCACAGATGCAAGCATAAACAACAAAATACACGAGATAGAAGAGAAAATCTCAGGCTTGAACATGCAGTAGAGAAAATAGATTCATCGGTCAAAGAAAATGTTGAATCCAACAAATGCTTAACACAAAATATCCAGGAAATATAGGATACTGTGAAAAGACCAAACAAAAGAATAATAGGAATAGAAGGAGAAGTCCAACCCAAAGAAGGATGTACCTATGAAAATACAAGAAACTTACAGGACACCAAATAAACTGGATGAAAGAAAAAGAAAGAAAGAAAGAAAGAAAGAAAGAAAGAAGTCCAAGAACACATCAGAAAAATCATCTACCAACATCAAATAGGCTTCATCCTAGAGATGCAGGGATGGTTCAACATACAAAAATCTGTCAATGTAATCCACCATAAAAACAAGCTGAAAGAAAAAAAACACATGATCATCTCATTACATGATGAGAAGTCTTTGACATTATCCAACACCCCTTCATGATAAAGGTCTTAAAGAATCAGGGATACAAAGAACATTCGTAAACATAATAAAAGCAATCAATATACTGCAAGCCGACAGCCAACATCAAACAAAATGGAGAAAAACAGTGATTCCACTAAATTCAGAAACAAGACAAAGCTGTCCACTCTATATCTATTCAATATACTACCCAAAGTCCTGCTAGAGCAATAGAACAACAAAAGGAGATCAAGGGGAGACAAATTGGAAAGGAAGAAGTCAAACTTTCATTATTTGCTGATGATATGATAGTTTACATAAGTGACACCAAAAATTCTACCAGAGAACTCCTACAGCTGAAAAACACCTTTAGGAATGTGGCAGGATACAAGATCAACTCAAAAAAATCAGTAGCCCTCCTATATAAGGATGATAAATGGACTGAGAAAGAAATCAGAGACACATCACCCTTCACAATAGCCACAACAACACAAAATATCTTGGGGTAACTCTAACCAAAGAAATGAAAGAACTGTATGATAAGAACTTTAAGTCTTGAAGAACAAAATTGAAGAAGATATCAGAAAATGGAAAGATCTCCAATGCTTTCGGACAGGTAAGATTAACATGGTAAAAATGGCAATCTTACCAAAAGCAATCTACAGACTCTGCAATCCCCATCAAAATCCCAGCACAATTCTTCACAGACCTCAAAAGAACAATACTAAATTTCATAAGGAGAAACAACAACAAAAAAAAAAAAAAAAAACAGAATAGCCAAAACATTCCTGTACAAGAAAGGAACTTCTGGAGGCATCACTATCCCTGTCTTCAAACTCTACTAGAGTTACAGTAATAAAAACATCTTGGTATTGGCATAAAAACAGACAGGTAGTCGAATGGAATTGAATCAAAGATCCTGATATTAACCCATACACCTATGAACACCTGATTTTTGACAAATAAGATAAAAATATAAAATGAAAAAAAAAATCTTCAACAAATGGTGCCTATATAACTGGAAGTCAACAAGTAAAAGAATGTAAACAGATTCATGTCTATCACCATACACAAAAATCAAGTCCAAATGGATGAAAAACCTCAACATAAATCCAGTCACACTGAATCTCATTGAAGAGAAAGTGGAAAGTACCCTCAAATGCATTGACACAAGAGACAGCTTCCTAAATATAGCCCCAGTAGCACAGACAGTGAGAGCAACAATTAATAAATGGAACCTCCTGAAACTGAGGACACAGTAATAACACAAAGCAACAGTCTACAGAATGGGATCTTTACCAACCCCACATCAGACAGAGGTCTGATCTCCAAAATATGCAAAGTACTCAATAAATTGGTCATCAAAAGAACAAAAATAATCCAATAAAAAAAATGGAGTACAGACCTAAACAGAGAACACTCAACAGAGGAATCTAAAATGGCTGGAAGACACTTAAGGAAATGCTCAACATTCTTAGTCATCAAAGAAATGCAAATCAAAACAACTCTGAGATTCCATCTTACTCCTGTCAGGACAGCTAAGATAAAAAACACTGATGACAACTTATGCTGGAGAGGTTGTGGAGTAAAGGAAACACTCCTCCATTGCTGGTGGGAGTGCAAACTGGTACAGATGCTGTGGAAATCAGTATGGCAATTTCTCAGAAAATTAGGAATCAATCTACCTCAAGACCCAGCGATATCACTTTTGGACATATACCCAAAAGATGCTCAATCACACCACAAAGACATTTGTTCAATTATGTTCACAGCAGCATTATTTGTAAAAGCCAGAACCTGGAAACAACTTAAACGCCCCTCAACCAAAGAATGGATGAGGAAAATGTGGTACATTTACACAATGGACTACTATTTGTCAGTAAAATATAAAAACAATGATGTCCTTAAATTTGCAGGCAAATGGACAGAATTAGAAAAAACCATCCTGAGTGAGGTAACCCAGACCCAGAAAGACAAATATGTATGTACTCGCTCATAAGTGGATACCAGACAAAAAGCAAAGGAAAACCAGCCTACAGTTCACAGCCCCAGACAAGCTAGAGCCCTCTTCCGGAAACAGACGGAAGCCGATGTAGAAATCCACAGCTAATCACTGGGCAAACAGAGGGACGAGTGTAATATGAACAAAGGGCTCAAGCCCATGATGTGGAAACCCACAGAATCAGATATTCAAAACTAGTGGAAGATGACAAACTGGACCTACATCAGGGAAACCTGAACCTGCATAGAACTGAATAAGGCCCCTGGACACAGGTGACAAGGGTGTGGCTTGGATCATATATGGGGCCACCGACAGTGGGACCAGAATCTAACCATAATGCATGAACTGACTTTGTAGAGCCCATTCTCTTTGGAGAGATACTTTGCTCAGACTAGGTGTGGAAGGGGGGAGGGCAGGGGAGGTCCGCCTCAAGGAGGTGATGGGACAGACTTAGTTGACTTCCCAAGGGAGGCCCTAACCTCTCTGGGTAGATGGAAGGTGGGGTGGGAGGAAGGGGAAAGAGCAGGAGAGGAGGGAGAAGAAACTGGGATTGGGATGTAAAAAATAAAGAAAAAACAAAGTTGAGGAAAGAGAGAAAGAGAAGGAGAGAGAGATGGAAGGGGGAAGGGAGGGAGGGAGGGAGGGAGGGAGGGAGGGAGGGAGGGAGGGAGGGGTG